ACCGAGCAGTTGTAAAGAAACAAAAGACTTCGCTCCTAGGTCTACCCATAATAAAAACTATAACAACTGCTTCCAACGTGACCACATCATCTTTGTCTTGTGTTAAGTGACAGTCAATATTTGTCCGCCAGGACAGCTTCAAAGACCCAAAGGGATTATTATTGCATTTATGTGCAATCAGGTCGTTCCGAGACCTGGTCTTTCCTTTTTCAAAGTATGCGGTTTCAGAGAAACTACCTTAAATTACTTCATTCAGATGACCACCAAGTTCCAGGATGGCTTCAGAACTAATAAGGGCGATTTGTAGGAAAGCATAAAAATATGTGTCTAATTCCTGTATGCTTGTAACCATTAGATAATATTAATGAAGAGGATCATGTTTCCCCCCCCCCCCCCACCCCCCCCCCCACCCACCCACCCCCACCTCCATTTTCAGCAGTCTTGTATACTTGAAAACACAGGTTTTTGTTCTGTTTGTTCCTTCTGTTCCTTACCATCTTTCGGGCAAAGCCTCCGAGCCATCTCTGGTCAGCTCTCTTAATGTGACCACACCTCGCCGCTTCTTCGTGATCCTTCTCATAGTAATCTTTTTATTCTTCTCTTCCACCTTGTACCTCATCGAAGTGTCGGGGGAAGATGTAATGTTCGTTGATGAGCTCTGTCAAGAGCACTATTAAGACTGACGTTCATTTCTGTAAGCTCTTCTTAATGCCATCACTCCGTGTTTTCCGAGGTCTTCCACTCGCTCTATACCCGTTGTAACGTTTTAGTGTGGCTCGCTGTGGCAGATAGTACCAGGGCATTCTTGTTAGGTGTCCAAACCACTTTATCTGTTGTTCTTTGATAACCTTTAAGACTGGCTTTATTCCTAGCATTCGTCTTCGTGATTTCGTGTTCTGTCTTTCCTTGAAACTTCTGCAGCTCTTCTAGGGCATTTAATCTCTGTTGTTACAATTTTACGTTAATTGGAGGATGTAAGTGTCCACGTGTCGTATTGATAGCATTGTGTTGGCCAAAAAATAGTTCTGATAAGATTCACTTTAGTACTCCGAGGTATCTGCTTGTGTGTCAACAGGGGAGATAGTTGCCCCATTATTTGATTAGCTTTGGCACATCTAGAGCTAATTTCTCTGTCCAATTTTCCGTCGGATGTGAAAATTGCTTCCAGATACTTGAATACCTCTTCTCATAGTACTCACAAGTCATTAATTATCATCTCTGTGTGTTTCTTTATCTTCAGTAATTAATTTTGCCCAGTGGATTCCAGTCCAATCACATAACAATAATACTGACATCTAACTTGTCCACGTGTGTCCTATCCAATAACAGCTGTTAATCTCAAATTAACTGAAATTGTCTGTGTCCTTGTACTGCACATTACTGTTTCTGTCACGCAACTTTATATATATATATATAAGTTTCAGTTAGGATTATATAAAATAGAAGGTTTTTGTCATAACAGAAGGAGATATGCTGAAGTCTAAAGAAATTTAATTTAGTATCAGGCAGTATATATATATATATATATATATATATATATATATATATATATATATATATATATATATATGTGTGTGTGTGTGTGTGTGTGTGTATATGTATACTCAAAAATTTAAGTTGTAGAATATATATATATATGTATATATATATATATATATATATATATATATATATATATATATATATATATATATATATATATATATATATTCCACAACTTAAATTTTTCAGTTATCCTTCTCTAGGATTATATGCCTTTAGTCGTACGCCATGCTCGTGATCAAGGCGATAGTACTAATTAGCCGGAGGAAAAAGAGAGGGTTGAGGGGTAGGGTGGGTTTGGGAACGTAAATTTACTGCTTAATACTAAATTAAATTTCTTTTGACTTCCATACATCTCCTTCTGTTATGAACAAAAAACTTCTTGTCTTTTACAATCATAATACATTGCGCAACTAACCACACAAGACGTAATTTCAAAAAGTTAGGTTATCTGATAATTTGCTGGAGTTTTTTTTTTTTTTTTTTTTTTTTTTTTTTTTGTTGTGTTTTTTTAAATTCTCATTGTCTTCTCTTTCACCCCGCTGAATCAAATCGACGTTTATCTTAACATCGAATAATTGAGCAAACCAAGAACATACAAAGTGGATAATTTCTTACCATTTAGGTCCATTATTACTTTAGTAATTTGTTTTACGGTAACTCTTCTGAGCAAACGTAATAATTGTCAAAAAGTATCCAACATTAGTCTAATGTTCATTTCAAAACATCACGGGACTTTGAATCTACACTTGCCCACTCTGTCGATCTAAGTAGGTCCTTAAACTATTTGACAATCGAAATCATGTTTATTGAGTTCATTTAAATCGACAAAAGAGGAAATAATATTACTCATGTTGAACATCAGACTCTGCCAATAGTTAGACGACATTAACGTTTTTCAGGAACATATTCCTGAACGAGCAATTTGTGAGCACATTTGTGTTTGAATAAACTAACGTACGGTTGGTTGTTTGAGTCTGAATCACATAATTTGTACTGGGGATCACATGTATTTGCATGGAATAAAAATGTACGAGCAGTCTCTTTTCAAGAACTAATGTTTGTACAATGATATGACGTGTGAGTAGATTTTTTGAATTGTGCAAGACATCTTTAATTTCATGTGGAGACGGGTATGTCCGTGCAGAGTGGCAAGCATCACTTCAGAAGTTCCAGGTAGTTAGCATCCTTTGGATATTTTCTCCAGGTTATGCCGATGTGTTGGGAAATAAGCATGCAGATAGACTGGTCGGTTCTGCACCAGTTGGTGGTGAACTGATATATGACAAGCTGGATGTTGTGAGGGCCCTTTGGGAACAGACAGATCAATAAGGTCTGAGGAAAATTGCACTGCGAGGTGTTACAAGGGGACATGGCCAACGCTTGACACTCAGGGAAAAGGCGAAGCGGAAATACATTCAAATTGTTACTGGTACCATCGGAATTGATTCTTAATTCAACATGTAACATTTGCCATTGCATGAGTAAATGAGTACTTTAGAAGTGTTGCAAATGTACCAGTGTTTATTCCCCACGTTAGACATTGATTTGTGTTTGTATTTTATTTAGGTAAGTAGAACAATCTCTTTTTTTTTTTACCGCTTCAAGTGTCGAGGGATATATAAGGTCCTGCTTCGTGTTTCTTTGTCTGCTTCGGCCAAAGACGCATCGTGGTATTGTAGAGATTGTCTGGTGTTATCCTTCCATCTTGTTTTTGGTCTACTTCTTGCTCTACGTCCCTCTCCTCTTTTGATATATGCCTTGAATAATTTAGCATCAGAAAGCATTCTCTCCAAGTGGGCAAACCATTAGATTTGCTGTCTTTCTATGTAATTTAGAACTGGTTCTGTTCCGACTTGATCACGCATGACTTATTCCTGATTTGACCTCTTCTGGTCACTCCTACTGCCTTTCTCAGAAACCTCATTCCCATTCGATCTTACCAATTTTTATTTTGACACAGCCCACTAAGACTTGAAACGCTACGTAAATCTAACCTCTATTTACACATGTAGTGACAATGCCCTTCACACCGTGAGATCCTTAGGGTTTGAAGAAATTTGTCTAGCAGGAAGTGAGGGGAGAAAACTCAGACAACAAAAAGACAGGAGGGGCAGATAATCAAGACAAGCACTACTTGTACTGATAGTATTCTGTGCTGGTTTTAATATGGAAACGTCTGAGAGAGATACGATGACGTGCTTTTACTGGACTCAACTTTAAAGAACTCGCCTCTTTATTCGCGTTGTGTAAGTGTGCGTTTGTTGGTCAGTGTTTTCGATGATTACATTCTCCTGCCTACTCCGCATTATACTTTGTAATTTTCATAAAGACAACAATCGTTCCAGTGTAAATCTTTTGTCATTTCGCGTACTTCGTTATGCTCAAAAACATTGAACTTCACAAGGTAACTTTCTGGAGTAGTCCTGTTCTTATCGAGGTGAAGTATGAAGACAGTTCCTCCAGAAAAGTAGACTTATATTTTTATTCTTCTTAGCGTTCACCACCTGTTCTTCTTCTTCTGGGCTGTAGTCCTGCTTCAGAACTTAAAAATTTTTTGCATGCAAAGCCGTTTTACAAGTTAACTTTCTTGTATGCAGACTACTTGCTGCTGGCATAAGAGGCAGATAAATTCCACCTTTGGAAGAATCATCAATACAATACCGGCGTTGTGCTGACCATATCCTCCATCCACTGCCGAATCATTGATGCAATACCGGCGTGGTGCTGACCATATCCTTCATCCACTGCCGAATCATCGATACAATACCGGCGTGGTGCTGACCATATCCTCCATCCACTGCTGAATCATTGATACAATACCGGCGTGGTGCTGACCATATCCTCCATCCACTGCTGAATCATTGATACAATACCGGCGTGGTGCTGACCATATCCTCTATCCACTGCCGAATCATCGATACAATACCGGCTTGGTGCTGACCATATCCTTCATCCACTACCTAATCATTGATACAATACCGGCATACACATATAAAGTTAGTGGCTGAACTTTGCAGAACTAATCGCAGAATATTTTTTCTTCCAAAGTGATTGGCTTACTAGCCAAGTTTAGGTTCATTTGTTTGCCAGTGCTGATTGAACAGTCCCTGAGTGACGTACAACCCTGCCAGGACCCCACAAGGAGCGACAAAAACTTGGTGACATCACCGTTAGATTAGTTTATATTTAGGCCCCTCGACAACAGTTGGGTGGGGCTTTTAAGTAAAAAAGCAAACAAGTAAACATTGTGTCCCATATAGGGGCGGGGTTATTAGTCAGCGGTTCCGGACACCATGCTCGAAATGAAAGCATTACGGTCTTTGTTTTTTAATATACGACATAAAAATCATGTCACGCTTTTAAAAAGATTTAAAATCTATATTATTTTATTCCCATTTACATAGAAATACCTTGAGTTACATTGTGGATGCTTCATATAAATTATATCACTAACAATGACTCTTTTGAGAACACACGAGAACAGAACAAATGTTCTGGTAAAGACAGAGTCAAGCCTGTCGCCTGCAAATGTTGGGGCGCAACGTGACATAACTGAAGAAGCACTTCAAGTGTTCAATAAATACATTTCTACAGTTCTGCTAACTGTGTTATCTCCTGTTGGTTTGGTAACAAATATTCTCAACATCATCGTCTACTGGAATCAAGGGATCAAAGACAACGCCAACATCACGTTTCTAGCCTTGTCTTTCTGGGATCTAATGCATTGCTTCCTATTGTTTTTATCAGAAATATGTTTTGTCTTAAATATCCTCTTTCCACAAGCCAGTGTGTATATAAAACCTGTGACATTCCAGCTTGTGTTTTTAGGACACACCAGAGGATGTATGTACGTACTGTCTACGCTTGTTACAGTCTACCTGTCCGTGGAGAGATCCATTTGTATCGCACTACCGTTCAGAGTCAAAGACATATTTACGACCCCTCGCGTTGTCCTCATTAATTTACTGATTGCCGTATTTGGTTTCGCTTGTTTCTCTCCTGCCTGGGCAACCCAGGGAATTCATTGGGTTTATGACCCTAGAAGCAACACCACACTCTTACAGCTGTGGATATCTGTCAACAGACGTGACGTCGACTTATTCGTGGACACATTGAATGGTATAGTCACACCATCGGTGGCTCAAATACTTATCTCTGTAAGCGGCTGGTTTATGATTCAAGGCATCAACAGGTCTAACAAATTAAGACAGAATCAAACTTCTGTTTCCAAGTCTCTAAACGTATTTACACTCAACGACCAACTTCATAAAACACTGAGCTCTCGAATTAAATTTACACGAGACAAGACGGTCACCAACAAAGATATCAAACTTACCAAAGTTGTCGTGTCGCTGGCAGCTATATTTTTCACTTGCAATTTACCTGTAGTTGTTGTGGCAGTTCTCCGAGCAATGATTGCTGACATTGACATAGGTAAACGATTATTCAGTTGGTACAAAGCACTTTACGGCATAGTTTATTTCTGTGGCGTAATTAATTGCTCTGTAAATATTTTTGTTTATTATAACGTGAGCTCCAAATATAGACGAGAGTTTGTGGCTTTATTTTGTAGGATGAAGATCAGGAATAAAATACTCTAGGATGTAATTTAAATACGACGACTAATAAGCGTTGCTGTTTGATGAAGAACCTATGCTTCCTCTGAACTGATTAATAACTGGGGATACTTAGAAGACGGGGGGGGGGGGGGGGGGGGGGGGGGAACAATTGTTAATTTCCGGCAGACCTTATCAAAGGAAGAAGATGACGATGGACATATTTGCAGAATGCCTCGTGACACTTACGCAAGAACACCTAACCCTCCGGTGGGTGGCTGACGGAAAATTAAGACTTCGACGACCTAAGGAAATCGGAATAAAGACAGTAACAAGGAAAATGAAGGCATATAATGACATGGGTAAACTTTTTTTTAATACTGGGGAGGAAGAATGCAGTGGGGGATATTTTCACCCAGATTAGTAAGGTTGGGGGAAAAGCCCAAGATTAGCTAAAATACCGAGATATTCCAGATACTCGGAGGTTTTCAAGACAGGTGATGACCACGAGTTATCACGTGTAACATGATGACGCGACCACACGTGAAAGTAAAAGACCACCACGTGTTGCCACGTGAAACTAAACCGTGGTATAAATACAGACTCCAGTCTGGTCAAGTTAGTATGCGTTGAACTTTCGGAGCGAAAGGACAGGAGACTGAGTGTAAGAATGTAAACGTGAGATTGCTTGACGTGAAAGGAGAACCGGGCGATGTCGTTTGAAGCCAAGACCAGCCAGAGCAGTCTGTATAATATCAAGGAGATGAACCAGATACATCATTGCAAACTCTGGTCAGTGACTGCGTGAGGACCCAGCATGTTGAAGTCTGCGTGATGTGGTGTGTGAAAGCTGTTTACTAGGACAAGGACTGGATAACCATGTTAGTGTTATGATGTCAATAAACAGATGTATCGTACTCAAGTCGGTGTCGGCTTGTCCCAGTTATGTCAACGTAGAATGTGTGCTAGGAGCATTCACGACTACACATATCATTCTCTAGACAACGAGTCGGCGCTCATAGAAGCCCAGCTTATTGCAAAGCAGATTATTGCAAAATTGGTAGACAAGCTACAGACGGCAGCATTAGCGATCTCCTATGTGCCTTTCGTGTCATCAATCACATCAAGAGGTTCAAGAAATAAAACGATATATTTTATTTTTCCCGTAGAAACGAATCTACGAATCTGCAAGGAATATTTTAAGATTAAGAGAGAAGATAAGGACAAAAACATTTCACCGGCAGGGTTGTACATGAAGAAGTCCCAGTACCCATTAGCTAAATCATACTTTTCAAGTTAAGGAGTCATTGTTAAGTTTGTCATGAAGTGATTTTGAATGTCCCCTTGACTTGCCCGCAAGTAATGCCATAATAAACCAATGATTTTTATTTGACTTTTCCCGCAAATTCACAAATTAGTAACACTATGATGGCATAAGGACAGTCCCACAGGATTTTAGAAATTCGAGCATCATAACTCTATACAAGAACAAGGGGGATCGGAGTGACTGCAGCAACTACAAGGGAATATCACTTCTGTGCACTGGTGGGAAGATACTTGCCAGAATTGTTATGTGCAGACTCCAGGTCCTAGGTAATCAGGTTTACCCAGAGTGGCTTTCATGGGCAACGATCGACCACAGATATATTCTCACTAGTCTAACGATTAGCAAGAAAAATAAAAACACAGATTATGGCCCTAGGTGTCTGTCACAGACCTACAATAGGTCATTCGACCCACAGAAAGGCTCGCAACCTACAGGTTGAGAACCACTAATCTATATGGATATGATAGCTGAAGAAGCAAACCAACAGCAAACGGATTTAAATGAGCTGATATTTGCAGACGATCATGACCTATTCCAAAAAGAAAACGATAACTTCCAAACTGCATTAACAGTCTCAACACATGTTGCAAGAAATATTTTTAAAAATATTTTTTTTTTTAAAGAAGCCACAAACAGATGTAAAATAGTAAACAGAGCACCTGCTCAACATATCATCTATGTTGAAGGAGAGAGATTAAATCAAGCTAAGGATTTTACCTACAGAGTTGGCTATCTGTTATGCTTTGTTTTCTTTCCTGAGAGTATCAAGCAGCCTGTCGTCTGCTATCAGGTCTCCTTCGCGACTATGACTGTCTCTGATTTGGCTTTCTCCAGTCTAATCTCGATCCCCTGAGCCAGTGAGCGATTCACTCCTCCCTCAGTGCCGCCTATTACTTTAATAATGGACTCTGTGCGGTTGTTTCTTTCTAAGATTATGTTGAAACTCTCTTTCTTTGTGTGCGTTCAAGTGCCTTGTTGAATTGGTGCCGACACAGCCTTCTAGGAGGGATTTCCCTTGATCGTCATCGAGCGCCCCAAACGAAGCCTCGGAGCACCTAGTTTGAATACTTTAATCTGTGTCGCCTGATTCCGCTTTGGTAATGTTTATCCACCAGGGCTGAGTGGGTGATGACCTAAGCTATGGGGGACCCTCTTGCTGGTTGTATTTTGGCTGCAACCTCCGAGACTTTGGACGCGTATGAGGGTGTGCTCTGTCGGAGGCCCCTCCAACTGGCCTTCTTATTCTGGTATACTGGGTTGGATCACTTTTGTTTGGATCCCTTTGCTGGGTCCAGGTCCGCTTTGGCCGGTAGTCCTGGGTTCTGGCGGGTGACCCTGAGTGCCCTCTCTTTCGAGACGCTGTTGCGGCCTTTCCCTGTGGTAACTTGGGTTGATGTATCCGGCCCTAGTATGCCTCCGCATGGTTTTGCTCGAGTACTGGACTATTGAGGTTTTTGGCTAGGCCCCCTAGTCGCAGATTGTTTGAGTATAAATCGTAGACTATACACAAAACTCTTGACTTGAGCTTTGCTGTCTTCCAGAGCTGTGACTCGGTGTCTTGGCAGTAGCTTGTTCTCTCCTGGGTAACAAGCCTGGTTAGGAGACTTTTTACAGTGCTCCTAGGGTGTCCCGTAACAGTACACAATGCTAGAGCTTTGTGAGGCGAACTCTTGCTTTGTTACTGATTTTGCGAGGCAACGAACTCTTGACTTTTTGTGCCTAGGTGGCGAGTGCTGATAGATCAAGCCGATTATCGATATCAGTTTTCTCGTTTCCTAGCACTGGTATGCAGACTGGTAGTGAGGCTAAGAACTCTCACTTTTCAAAGCAGACTGTGGTAGCCTTCTCTACAGTAAGGTTTTTTTTTAAACTATGCCCGAACTAACTCCTCATCCCAACCTTTATCCTCACCATAAGGGGAGAAAACCAGCTTGGACCCCCAGCCACAAATTATGAGGGCAATCATACATTGCTTAGTGAACTGGACCTTGGACCTCAAAGAGGAATTTTAGTTATGTACAGACAACAGTCAGTTTCTTTTGAAGAAGACCACTAACTTTCCAACAGACATAATTTATACAAATTTCTTTACTTATATTCACCAATTTTCAAATTTCTTTTCAACCATGGTTCATAAATTTTGCATACTGCTTATCACCAATATATTCAATGTGTCTGTATATGGCAGTAGTATCGCATTCTATTGATTTACAATCATGTTATCAGCATTTCTGCATCACCGCTGGTGCCATTTCTAAATTATTCATGGCAGTATCACTCAGCATAGGGTTCCTGTGATAAACTGCAGAGTTACTGCCCTTTGGTAATTATATTAGACTAGTGTACTAGTTTTCACAGGTTGACAAATCTGTCAATATAATTCTGGAAGACCGCAAAATTGAACAGGGAAGATTGCACCCAGCTAAGAAAAAGGACATTTCACTGACGTGAAATAATCTATGGTATGTCAGTGACATAGCCTCCTGTTGAAGTAAGTAAAGGACCCTTTTCCACGCCTTTAGGCGTATAGGGCATATAGGGCTAGACCTAAATTTTTATAGACCAACGGCACAAGATGGATGATGTGCTCAGCATCACGCCTGCCGCCTCTACTTCCCGGGACTGCACCCTGTACTCACTCAAAGCTGGGTCGACCTGGGAGCCAAGGTCATTTTTTAAAGAAAGGTCCGGCTCCGCCAGGGAGCGAACCCACGACTTTCCGATCCGCGGCGCGCGTCTAGCCGCTCTGCCACGGCGACTCCCCTCCTGTTGAGATTATTCCCAGAAAAAAAATGTGTTAAATAACAAGGGTTGAAATTTAACATTATGACTCAATAAATACTCCACTTAGCTGAGTGAGTAAGTACATCATGTTGTGCATCTAAATTTTGCAAATGAAACACAGAACAGAAATATTGATCAGTAAAAAACATGTTCGGTGACTAGAGGGACGACGAGTCAGCACGACTGAAATATTTCTAGACTGTGCCTCACCGAGTCACAAGGGAAGATATGTAGGCAATGAGGTCTCAATAATGATTCCTTCAGCTAAACAGGTGAGCAAATATGTCATGTTGTGTATCAAACTGCAGGGCATAGAATACAGACCAAAAATATATGTGTGTGAAACATATTCAGTGACTAAATGCGTGACAATTTAGCGTGACTGAAATACTGCCCACACAGAGTTACAAAACAGATATATGGACTATGGTGTCTAATGTTAATAATTATTTAACTAGCTATACGGGTAATCAAGAAAAGTCCTGTTGTATATCAAATTGCAGAAAATTCAACGCAAAAACAAAATATATATGTGAATAACACATTCAGTGAGATATAAATATTAACACATTGCAGATTTATCGCATCTCAAGTATATGTGACAAATACTTCACTGCAACTATAAAAGATATGTGTAGACTGTAGGAATATTTGCAACCCTCTGCTAATCACGTAGGCAAATGTGTTGTAAGGTGTATTACACTGTCAGAAACTAGAAGGGGAAACAAAATCTGGTTGTATAAATGATATCCTCAATGGTTAAGTGCATGTGACATATCATCCTCTTGTGCTGATATATGTCCCACAGGGCTTACAGACCATTCTTCCATTCAGACCATAACGAGCAATTGTTTCAATATCAAGAATGGAATCTAGGCCAGCCTCTTGGGGCTATGTCCGTAATGGTCATGTTAAGTGTTTCTTTTGGACGTCC